AAGTTAATAATCTCAACTGATTAATAAAATCAAATTTAAATTAAATTTTAAATAAATAATTTATTAAATTAAATTATCTAATTAAACTGAATTTAATAACTTCTAGAAAAATAATTTTATGTTTTTTATAAGATTTAGAATGTTAGTATTTTTTTATATAATTTTTAGATTCTATGGTTAGTAATTTTGATGGGATTTGAACATTATCAATAGTTATTATACGAGAAAAAAAAGATAATTTATGTTTAACTTATAAAATTTGCGAGAAATTATTTCCTAAGATCTAGATTCGTCTTGTGCTTCTGTTCATATAACAAGTGTTCATCTTAATTAAGTTAATAATTTTTGTAATTATCACGTCAGGTTTGAATTTAATTAGAATTTTTGAAAACTTTTCGTAAATATATCAATTTGGACATGGAATAACTAATTGAAAAAAAAATATTTCTCTGTATCAAAAGAAATATTTTCAAGATACTATAACCGTATAGTTAAATTAAACAGGAATTGAGGTGGGTTGATGCTCGTGCACTAAAATTAAACAAGACTTGGGTTTCATAAATGAAAACGATGTAGTATTGGCAACATAAATTGACTTTATGTTGGCATATCACTTATGGCACAACAAACCAAGAATATTCGCTTTGGGATATGCTTTCATCATGTGAAACGGAGAAAAACATTTGAGGTTAAAATCAAAATCAAGCATCCTAAAAAAAAAATACTATATATTTTTTATAATATGTATCATAATTGCTATATATTTTTTATAATATGTATCATAATAGTTAATAATTGTATGAGACCACACACTTAAATAAAAATAAATGGAAATATGTGATGAATATATTAAAAGAAAGAACAATTTAAAAGGCAAGTTAGTATTGAAGAATTGAAATATGTCATTCTTTCACCAAATCATAATTGAAGAATAAATAGGTAGTGTAAAAATTTTGAGATTTTTTTTTTAAATAGTTGTTAAAACTAATGTTGGATGAAATTGGAACTATGCCAATTAATGAGTGGTGAACCTTAAAACTTTAGGTTAGTTTAGTAACTTTATATTATTAATTTTTAATTGTTACTTTTAGTGGTTGAGAAATTGATTTTGTGTTGTTAATTATATTGATTTTTTTTATGGAGGAAATTAAAAGAATCAAAAAGTTCAAGTATGCTAGTATTGAGCTATCTTCTTGTAGGAAATTTTATAGACTATTAAGCAACATTATAACTATTATTAAATTTTTTTTGCAAAGTATATCCATTTATATTTATAAAATATAAGATTAAATTGTAATGACATCAATATTATTATATAATTATATTAGAAAAAACTCTAAAAAAATCATATATTTACAGAATTTGTTATCATCTAAACTTTTTTTCTAATAATATTTTATTGTTGGTGTGGAATGTTAAAAAAGCCATGAATCATGAATAGACTAAGGCAGTCAATTTCCGTTGAGATTAGATGAATATTTAAACGTGTCAATGGAAAGACGTGGAGTTCCATGGAGGCATGCTCTTGCACGAGGAGCCACCCACTAGGAATAAGCGGAATTTACAAGACTTGGATGTCACTATCAAGTCACTGCAAGTCTGTTTTCAGACAAAAGCTGCACTAAGCTGCGTCGTCAACCTTGGCGGCGTCATGGCGTTGTAGCTAGAATCCTCCGTGGCATGACAGCACTGAAGATGGTCAAAAATGGAAACTACAATTTTTCTCACATTTTAATCATTGAGCAGATCGTGTCGTCGAGAGCTAAGGTGCTGCCCATACCAGAAAGTTTCGTGATCGTTCAGGGGAGGCCTGACATATGACGTGGACCTCTAATTTTTCTTCAGCACTGCTTTATATATGGGATGGGACGTGACACAAATTATATTTTATAAAAAATTAATTTTTTT